ACCCCGTCCTTGCCAAGATCATCACACTCCTTCCTAACAAGGTCACTGGCCATCCCCTCCGGATGAACAACTGCCAGAGGGTCAACAGCCCAAATCCAAGAAGCTCTCCTCCTCCCAAAGGACAATATCCAAGGACCGACACCGATCCTCCCATTTCCCATCAGCCTCCCCTTTCTCGCCCTCCTCAATCACATCCCCACAGGTCTCCCATTCAGCACCACTATCCACCCCATTATCATGAACCTCAGAAAAGGATGCTGAATCACACGAAGGCGCATCAGTCAGGCGCCTATGTTTCTATAGTTCCTTCACCAACAAATAGGTTAATTCCTCATTGAGAACGATACGGGTATCCTTTCCCACGCAAACAGTTATCAAGTTTGGCTCACAAACTGACTGAGATGGCACCAATTCATCCCCCTTAGGAAGACACAAATCAAGCTGAGGCTTGACCATCCCCCCTATGTCAAACCCAGACATAACCATTTGATGAGAAGAGGAGGAAAAATCCAAACAAGAATCCTCTGGCCCTTCGCTAACACGATCCGAACCCCCATCCAAAAACAGACCGACCGTCCCATCCCTTTCTAACGGTCCAAAAAACCTACACCCTAAATCAGCCGTATCTACAGTCTCATTGCCCACCTCAACCACTGGTGAAAGCCTCCGTGACATATCAACAAAACCATTCCCCACCTCCATCCTCCTCAACCAACAAGAGGGAGAAGAGAGAGAAGAATGAGAAAAGGAGGAGTTACGAGAACAAGAAGGGGGGGACTTACCCGGTTCAGGAGTGTTGCGGGCGACCCATTTTTGCTTGTCCTTTCTGGTCCATCTTCAACCAGACTTATTAGACCAACTCGACACATCCTTCTTAAGGGAGTCACAGCTGCGAGTCTCGTCCTCACAAAGGGAGCTTGACTGGAGCAACCCAAAACTGTTACCAGATAGCAGATTCTGACAACACGCATCGTACCTGAACATCGTCGATCTCAGACCAGATCCCTTCATCGTATTCGAACTCACAGAGACCCAATTCTCCTTTTCCACCTGCGACCAGTGTCTCACATCATCCTTCGGTTGTTTCGGAGCAACTAATTTGTGAGAATCGCCTCTAGAAGCCGTTTCAGAAGGTGGCTTGGTGTCACGTTCCGATTCCTAATGCCATGAGCATAGAAGATATGCATGCTGGTTGGCTAAGAACATTCATTGACTGGGAATGGTTCTAGGGAAGGGGCGTGCAAGATCACAGGATGGTACCTCTTCAGAGTTTAGGCAGGTCGACTCAGTTCAGTTCGAGGTGCTTGTCGCTAGTCGTGGACTTGACTATGAAGAAGGGAGTTGGCCATCCCTACACAAACTAGTCAGGAGCTGGAGCTGTTCCCCTGACGAGGCCATGGCAGGCCGAAACCAGTCAGCATGTATCCTTGGGAGGGCAGGTCGTGGTGGCTGACCAGAGCGCTTGGGCGAACCGAAGCAACGCCTTGGCGCCGCACAGGTCGTACCGCTGCGCCAAATCTCTAGGCCCGTGACAAATGGTATCAGAGCAGGACTTGGGGTAAAGCACATAGGTGTGCCCCCTTGTCGATCCGGGGGTCTTGAGAATAAAGACGGTGCACTGAAGTAGCGTCGGTGGGCAATCAATGCTATTGGAGGAGAGCCTCCATCTCCCCTAGAAGACGCGTCCTTTGAAGCCAGAGGGCCGCGCGCATCGGATGGCCGGAGAGCCGCGCTCACCAAAGTTCTTGCAAATTCAAGAGGCATGCAAACCATTGTGAAGGGCGGGTATCAAGTCAACCGGAGGGCCCTTGTTTGCTCGTGGTGTCACGGAGGCGGCATAACGTGGGGTTGCGTCCCGAAGAAGTGGGCGTCCATTTAGCCCGAAACCCTATCATTAGGCGAGTGCAGCCAGGGGTTGTACAAGGAAGCGATGGTGGGCAGGCGAGCATTCCACTTGGAGGAGAGAGACTTTGGAATGTTGGACGCAGCGGAGTCAGCGCCGCACTGCGACGAGGGCGTCGCAGGATTTGGGTGGGGGAGAATGTCACGTTTCGATTCTTAACGACGGCATGAGCATAGAAGACACGCATGCTGGTTGGCTAAGAACATTCATTGACTTGGAATGGTTCCAGGGAAGGGGCGTGCAGGACCACAGGATGGTACCTCTTCAGAGTTCAGGCAGGTCGACTCGGTTCAGTTCGAGGTGCTTGTCGATAGTCGTGGACTTGACTATGAAGAAGGGAGTTGGCCATCCCTGCACAAACTGGTCGGGAGCTGGAGCAGTTCCCCTGACGAGGCCATGGCAGGCCAAAACCAGTCAGCATGTATCCTTGGGAGGGCAGGTCGTGGTGGCTGACCAGGGCACTTGCGCAAGCCGAAGCAACGCCTTGGTGCCACACGGGCCGTGTGGCTGCACCAAATCTCTAGGCCCGTGACATTGGGCTGCAGCCCATTAATGGAAATAGAGAGGCTTCTATTTGGCCCAGGCAACTTATCTAGAACTAGAATGATTGGGCTTGGCAAGAGAAGACCGAGAAGTAGAGAGAGGCTTAAGAATGGGCCTGACCTGTCAAGCCTTGTTCATGGCCCGCGAACCTTCAAGTCCAGATCCAGAAGAAAATGAACGCCCAACCGAATTGGGCCCAAAATGCCCAGCCCTGCCATCAGCCTTCAAAGTAACCTTCCCAGGCCCACGTTGGTTAGGCCCTATCCAAGTAAGCCCATCAGAAGAGGAATTCAAATTCCCGACCGCCTCACGTGCCAAGGCATGTGTGCCCTTAGCTGGATTCCACTCACAACGAGGGGGAACCGTCCTCCAACCACGTGTCCCACTAACCAGGCGTTCCTTCCCACTAATCTCCGGCGCGTGGAAATGCACTCGTCCCTTTCCCTGCTTCCGGCGACTTTGCAGAGCCTTTCTATGAGTCACCGATTCACGCCCACCCCCGAAAACTGATCTATGAGACGAACGAGCCCCCCTATCCGTCACCTCCAAAGGATTGAAAACCTCAGATCTACCACGAAACTTGGAGATCGGCTCAAGAGAAGGGGCGATTTCCTCTGTGAGAGAGAGACGAAAAGCTCGCTGACTATTCTCCACAATAATAGACTCCGGGATCACACCACCTTCATCCACAGTGATGACGATCCTCTCCGTATCGCTCATCTCGAACGCCTCGACGTTCCGGAATCCACCACACAGGTCCCCCACAGCAACAAAAAGTTTCTGACACCAAAGGTGGAGAGGAAGACCAAACACAATGATTCTCCGGCATTTAAACTTCTCTCTCAACCCAGAACACCTGACCTTGTAGTACCAGTAGTCAATGAACAACTGAGAGTCACCCCATGTCTTCTTTCCGTAATCAAGAACCTTCACAGCCGCCATGACCGACGGGAAGCGAAACAGCAAAAGCCCATCAGGCAAAGTAGAAACCCTAACGCCAGCCGATATCGACTAAACCCTCGTAGCCCAATCTTCAATGTTCTTAAGAGACCCCAACTCCCTATCAAATCTCCCAACAAGACATGCCCTAAGCGTACGCTAGCGAGAAGACGTGCTGCGATTATCCATTGAAAAGACGAAATCACCGGAGGAAGAGAAGCACTCTTCTTCGCCCTTCAAATCCAGACAAGGAAGACTAGCGACCTCCAGAAAAGACGGCCTCTAACCGTTGAGAGCTCTCATGAAATCAACAAAAAACCACCCCGAACCACCGCAAACACCGACACCAACAGAAAAAGAGAAACGCGAAGGAAAATAACAGAGGATTTCACCAGAGTTTATGACTCCGGTGACTGATCGGAGTAGTGGACTCCAGCCTCATCTCTACTACGAGGAAGCTTTCTCCGTTGGTCTGGACAAGTTTATCACTGTATGTTATCTTATACCAACGACATCCCATTAGACGTCAAAAGAACCATGAGGCCCCCTTTGAATCCCTCTTTGCAGAATGGTCTTTGCCTAGATATTTCCTGATTCGGCCATGTCTAAAGAAGCCATTAGCCCGCACTTAGGGTCAAGAACTTAATAAGTCAATCCACTTATGACTATACACCACTTCTAATCCCACAAACCAGTCATAGGCTCCTTTAACAACTACTTATTTTCAACTGTCATGTTCTCTCCTTTAGAGTTAGCCCAGATCTCCACCTTTTCACATCATTAGTAACTCTGCTATCATCACATATCTAAGGGCCGCAAAATATGACACATAATTGTAGAACTCAAGAAAAGGCACTGAGACTGTAATTACATAAAAAGATGTTTCCATAAAAGATGTTTCCCATACATACCATACGAAGACAAGTATCCCAACCATACCATGTGACTAAACTTCCACATAAGTGATGGAACTGCCCTTTTTAACAACACACTTGTAGAATGGTGAAGTTCAATGTTAATGAACAAGATTCACGGATCACTTAAATGTTATCCGTGCAGAAGCAAGACGTCACATTAACAAAACTAGCATAGTCAAGCTCTCCACAACTTGACCATCAAATTTTTTTTTTCTACAGCCTTTGTACCAAAATTTCTTATTCTACAGTTCTACTTGTATGCCCAAGCCCAACACATCATAAGCAAGGATGTGATAAATGGAGGCATGCTTCATATAGGTCATGCATTTCAACTCCATACAAGCATTACCTGAGGACTAAAGTGACTCCCTAATCTATCGTGGATGGATCTTAAAATTAATCAATTTATAGTTAACAGTTTCATTATTCTAGATATATTTATTAGAAAGTCCACTGGCACATAATACACTGACAATGAGATAGAAGCGTGAAAAATTCCCGTTGCCCTTCAAGTTCCAAGAGTCGAATAAATGGTGATAGAAAGCTACAATCAGATAAAACTGAAAAACTCAAATATTAATCACACAACCATAATAGGAATTATATATGGAAATTTTCATAAGAAGTGGGGGGAGGAATATAACAAGGGAACCGGGCTAATCAAGTACTTCCAGTAAGAAAACAGAAAGTAAACAAACCTTGAAGCAACACGAACATTGTATTCTTTACCGGGATGATAGAACTCTGCAAGGCCCCAGTCTATAAGACGAAGCTTACGCTTCTCATGATCAATCATCACATTATGGGGCTTAACATCTCGATGCATAATACCTTGAGAGTGGCAGTAATCTAATGCCTACACATAAAGATCTGGAAAACTTAGAAAAAAATTCCATCTATTACAAAAATCACATTTCAATAAAAAAAATATAAAAGAAAGAAAAAAACCGGTAAAATAGATATTTCACAAAAACAAATCAACAGCAATGCCACTATATATATATATATACATATATATATTTGTGTGGGTTAGGCAAGTACCCAAACACACATTTCAAAAATTGCCCACTATGGGGCTCGAACCCCTCACCTCTCGTTTGAGGTTGAAGAAGTTATACCATTGGGCTAACGGCACATTGGTGCAATACCACTATATACGTTTATCTGTATTTAAGATCATGAAGTAAGACATCAACCTGAAGACTAATCAATTAACTGACAAAAAAAAAAAAAAAAAAAAAGGGGAAGGAGAACAAATCAGAGACATTGCATGCATCCAACTAGAGAACTCACAGAATTACTGGCCGCACCAAGTTCCATTTGTGAAGCCAAATTACTTAAGTTCTGACTTCCTCCTCATTCATAAGTGAAATGCCACAGTCCATAAATCTTTTTCTTTTGCACCCCTCCCCAAATAAAGTGTTTTTTATGTTTTCCTTTCAGTTAACCTCAAAAAAGAGTTTTAATAAGCACATGCAACAAACCACAAACAATATCGAAAAACATTTAGCAGAGTCATCTGACTAGATTAATGTCATCCAAACTCCTTTGAAATGCAACATTTCTTAAGTAGGTTTCTAATTTCCATATATATATCTCAAATTCAATTTTCATTGAGTAAAAAAACAATGATCTGCATTTCGTATACAAGAAGGAATTATTCAATGAACTATACAAACATAAGACCTATTTAATTAACTCTTAATCTCCAACCTCAAAAGTCAGTTGGGGTGGTTAGAGTCTCTCGATAACCAAGAGGTCTGGCATTCAACTCCTCCAGGGTTTACCCAATATATGTCTCTTTAGGGTAAGTAATTGCATATTTGCATGTAACTAAAGGGAATTAGTCCGCTACAAAAGGGTGTTGGGACACCTTCTGTTAAATTATAAAAAATAAAAATGGAACTCCTACATTTTTTTTTTTTTTTTTTTTTTGTTAAGTAAAAATGGAACTCCTACTTTTTAAAACTATCAAGATCAAACATATAAACTATTTGATAGACAACAATCAATCATTTTTTTATAAGTATAGACAACAATCAGTCATATAATTTAAGTTTTAAACCTGAAACAAATGACACTTTGACCTATTTGAAACTTGACAAAAAATAGAGAAGTATAATCTTGTTTCCCCCTTCTAGCTCATTCATTTTCCCCCAAAAGAGGGCAATATATATAAGCCCGTAAATCATCCTCCATGGACGTCCCAAAAAAAAAATTTGCATCACTCAATTTTTTATGGAGGATAGAAATTGAAACGGCATCTAAAACCTCTCGTGGCAACATTTGCGTCCAAATTCACCCAAAACTTCTTTCAAAATATAGATAGCCAAAAATATTGTTCTGGAGCACTTGCTAAATGCATCATACAAATTCTTTCAAAAAAAAAATCACGATGTCATCTATATATTGCCAAAAATATGTTCAAAACAGGAAACACTAGAAACTCCTATTGGACATCAAAATTTTGAAGTACATCACCTACGTAAATCATAACCGTTGTCGCCATCATCGTTGCCTTTTTCCCACATGAACGAATTCTCTTTTTCTATTCTGTTTTGTTATACGCCATGTCACATCTAATATTTAATTTTTTTAAAACCATTTATAATTACTTCATTCAATATTAGTTTTGGTCGGCATCGCTCTCTTACCTCCTATGCAAACTAATCTTCCCTTTTTTAAGGACACATCAACGGGTCTATGCTCCATGTCCATATCACTAAGTCTATTTTCTCTTATTTTGCCACTAATAGGCGCTAGTCCCAATATCTCCCTTACACCTTGATTGGCTGGCCTAATGACCGTCCTATAAATTTTTCATTCTAAGTAGTTTGGTATTTTTCATTCACATAGGAATATCATCCAAATAAATAAATCAAATAATTTGCTCAGAAAATGCACCACTTTCATATCAATTAGAACAAATTGCAAAAATGAAAGAATTCTAGCACAGCAACATCTGTGGGTTGGGGTGGGAGTGGCAGTGGGGGGAAGAATAAAAAGTAAAACATAAAATTACAGGCATTTTTTAAATTCTGATATATAATCATATGAAGTAGAACTGCTTCAGTCAAGCATCATATAAAATGTGGGGACAGGTGCATCAAGAATGAAAATGCAGTTGCATAATAATCAACATCTCAACAACTGAGAAATCAAGAGAATATGAAGCTTGCCTTTAGAAGTTCGTAGATGTAATATCGTATATCAAAGTCAGAAAGTGTGGGATACAGCACTTTAAAATCTGTATTATTCACAAATTCAAATACTAGACTTGGGGTTTTAGATTGCTGATCTCTGACAATATCAAGCAATTTTATAATGTTTGGCCCACCACAAAGGTTCTGCAGAATTTTAATCTCCCTCTTGATCTGCATTAACAGAATAACTAAAAGTAAGTCTTCACAAGGTCTTTTACTGTAATATACAATAAAAATAAAATGTAAAATTCCATAAGCATGAAGACAAATGATGAATGAATAAACCTAATAAACAATGCTTATAATAAAAGAAAATTAAACAAAGTAGGTCTGTATTATAATACATGTGTGGAAGTTTATCTTCCCATTCGATAAACTGCTAGCAGAACTACCCACTATCACAAACCCCCAAATGAGTTTTTGGAAAAGTGAAAACCACAAAGCCATTAACCTCCACCATATCTCATACAAAGTAATGCATAAGAAGAATCTCTTATCAAATAAACTGAAATAATAATAACTTAAGAAGCTGAAAATATTCACAGTTAAACTAAAGGAAGGATAATGTAATACATTTATTTAAAGTGTCTCTATTTGCATGGTAATGCAAGGCTCTACCTACAATTATTTTTTTTCATTGGCAAGAAACACACTCACACACCCACTTTTGCCCCTATGGGGACTCGAACCCTCAACCTTTTACTTTGGAAGGTGAGGAAGTACCATCAGGCTACAAGGCCTTTGGTTACCTATAATTATTCATCGTAGGAAAAGTAGATACCATATGAAGTAAATAGTAAATCAACCCATAGATAAGAACTTTATGTTTACAACCTGTTACTAAGAAGATTAATCAACTCCTATTTGGGACTAAATCCTTTGACAAGCAACAACATGAGGAAGCATGCACTTAATCTAAAAGATTTTGTCAATTGGTGTTGCCTATGCAAGTAAGACGGTGAGTCAGTTGATCATATCCTCATGCATTGTCCCGTGGCGCACGACTGTTGGAATCTTATTCTTGGGTTGTTTGGCATGCGTTGGGTAATGCCACATTCTTCTAAGGACTTGATTCACGCTTGGAGAGGATGTCGTGTGAGAAGGGATATACGCGATTACTGGAGAGTTGTCCCACATTGCGTTTGGTGGTGCATCTGGAAGGAGAGAAATAGCAGATTGTTCGAAGGGAATGAGCCATCTAAGGCAACGCTGAAACTTTTTATTATTCGCTCTCTTTTCAAGTATGTCAAGGAGAGTTCTTGCTCCTTTTCTGATGATTTAATTACTTTCTTCTTTGGGGCCTTAGCCCCGGTTCCATTTTTGTATTTGGGATGCGTTCCCCTTTTGAACCCCTTTTTATTTACTTCTTACTTATCAAAAAAAAAAAATCCAAAGGATGCAACAATGTGAGGAAGCATGCACTTAATCTAAAAAGATGCAATTTTATAACCCTTTAAATGATTTAAGTGTCTCATTGTGGAAATATTATTTTATTGTTTCTTCTTAGTAGTTTAACCTATATAGCTGAAAAATTTTACATTTTTTTTTGATAAATACCTATATAGTTGAAGAATTTTACATCAATTACAAATTATAACGGTTCCTTATATAAAAAAGAAAAAGAAAAAGGAAGAAAGCTACAACTATAAATATTAATTAAAGGCTTTAACTATAAAGCCCTACTGTGAACAGAGGTGTGGTTCATTGATTGGCTGTCCTATCCTCAACATTTATTTGAAAGTTTTTCATAAGCAATGGAATTCCATTCCTGCTATTAAAAAATAACTAAACAAATATTCAAGAAAATAGAAGGAATAACCCCAAAGGTTACTTAGTGTTACAAAAAGAAAATGAAACTCCAAAGCTTCGGGTGTGTGTGTGTTGTTGGGGGGCGGGGGTGTTGGAGTTTCGAAGAAAAATCATCATCCCAAAAAGAGTATTAATTTCAGGAGGCCCTATTCAACTTTGCAGAAATTTTTATAAGATTCTCTTGCTTATAGTCTTTCATATGCACCAACTTGTGCTATAAAAGGAACCTTTCAAGTGATCAAACCACAACCATTAGACCTTCAACTTACCATATCAGAAAAAAGGTGTGCCACGGGAAAGGCATGCTGAGAGACCCAAAAGCAGTGGCATAATATCACAGCTCAAGCAACAAAAGTAATGCAACAAGACACGATATATAAGCTCTACTTCCCATGAACATTTTACACATATAGCAACTACCAAAAATTCCACTTCCTTGCTTATCAAGTAGTCAGCTATCAAGATTTTAACATGAATCCACTCCGAATGGTTTTTAATACCATTATTATTGGTCATTACAGACCTCAGCAATAAGGACGCATCACAAATGTCCCATATTTTAGACACCAAATTTTGTGTTTCTGTTATTTTTAAAATAAAATAAAAATGTTTGTCATATTTGTTTTATTCCATGATTTTGTATGTATCTCGGACATTCTTCCATTATAATGGCCTACATAAATCCAATACTTTTGTCAATTTTTCAAACCATTTAATGCTATAATACTGTATAATATAATCCCTTTAATTTTTCCAACATGTTGTTAAGCAAGAGTCCGGTGATATTGAATTTAGTGCAGTGAGTGCGAAAAGGTAGCCAAATCAATGGATCGTTTCTTTTTATATTATAATATGGATTAGGAATAAGAATGAAATCAACCAAATTTCCAGGTACCATCCACATTCAAACCCTATTAGGACATGTCTGGAAAGGGTTGGTGGAAGAAGTACACAGATTCAAGAGAGAAAAAGCTAGATCGATTGAGTATGAATAGAGTTTGAAATAAGATACAGCCTAGTTATATGATGAAATTACACATAAACCCTTATTGTATAATTTCTTTTCTTCATATACAAGACCATTAAGAATTAGGACCAGTGTTGTTAAAGGCGCGCCTAGGCTCGAGGCTCACTAATGTTGTCATCCCAGGCTCGCTGATGTTTACTAGGCGCGCGCCTCGTCCTGTTTGTCAGGCGCACGCCTCACTGGTTTTCTTTTCTTTTTTTTAAATATGATTATTCTATTTCTCAAGCGAAAAAGGTTACTTTTGGCAACTTAATAAACAAATAAGAAAGCCCAAGTGTACAAGAGAAGGAACTTTTGTTCGAAAGTATAAACAAATAAGAAAGCCCAAGAATCAAGGTGTTAACCGAACAGAGAAAGAGTGAGATTGTGAGACGAACGACGAAGCCCTACTTGCAAAGACGAACGACGAAGCCACGTCAGTTCTTTCTTCTTCTTCTCTCTCTTATCCTCTACTCCTCTCTTCTTATCTTTGTTTACATCTCTCTCTTCGTATAGTTCTCTTCTCTCTCTGTCTTTTTTTTATTTTTTGGTCCCTGTTTTTTCTCCTTTTTTTCCTTAACACTTTCTCTCTCTTCTCGTCTACTTCTCTCTCTAGTCTCTACATCTACTTCTTCTGCCTGTGCGTCTTTTTCTTTTTGCTCTGTTTTTTCTTTTCTTTTCTTTTCTTGTTAACAATTTTTTTTTTTTTGTTAACGTATTTATTTCTTTTTGTGCTCTGTTCTGCCATTCAAAAAAACAAATTCTGCTTTGCCTTTCAAGAAAACAAATTTGTGCTCTGTTTTATGGTTATTGGATGCTTCTATAATTGATGGATTTTCTTTTTTATATTTGATATTAATTTTTAAAATATTGATATGACTTATGAGATATGAATGTTATTATGCTATTTTAAATTTTCAATTGTGCAACTCACTTCACTCGGGCGTGAGGGACCTCTAGTACCTTGGTGAGCCTTGGGCTTTTAGTAACACTGATTAGGGCATCTCACTCCCACAACTTTCAATATAGACATCCTCTCTCTCTCTCTCTCTCTCTGTCTCTCTCTCCCTCTCTCTCTTGAAGCCATTGCAGTCTCTCTCCATTGACACAGCCAGAGGGAATTTTTGTCTCCAATTTCACATTTTGAAACTTATATTACAATACCAGCATATAAATTGATCAATAGATCTATTGTGTTTTTTTTTGGTATCAATAGTTCTTTACATATAATATTATTCCCCAAATATATACATACATGTGTGTGCATTTATATATGTCTATTTTGAATTTTTAAGTACTGTCGTTTCCATAAACAAGTAAAAAAATGTGGCTTTAGTGGCCCATAAATGAGGAGGGATGGGTCAAAGAGGGGCAGGCCACAGGCGGAATCAACACAAGTTGGGATGACCACTATCAGGCCGGAAAAAGATAGGAGTCCTCCTAAGCACACATGATCAAGATAGGGGCACATCTATACTCAACGCATTCTCATCCCTACTTGGAAGTTGTTGGCATTCCTTTTCTCTCTTGTCCAGGTTCATTTAGTGCCATATTCATCGACTTATGACATGATTACCGTGATTCTGGTCCAAGAATTTACTATCAGGATGTTTAAAAAAATGTTCCTCGTGCTCTACTTCGATTAAAAAGTATTTGATTGTCTCAAGATCCCTTTGGTGAAGTTGACGCATAATATAGCAAGAAATCAATCTCCCCAAAAGTAATAAGGTGTCAAGTCTGGCTATTTTGTTAATTTCCTAGCAGATCATTTTTTAGTTTTTATCAGGTTCCAATATGGGCTCCTCTCTTCTACTAACTGAAAAAAGAAAATTTCTTATACAACTTTCAACGAATAGTATTTACTGTTAAACTCAATGCACAAAAAGAAATATGTTTCTCAGTTTTCTTCAAAATAGAACAAAATTACTCTTGAGAATTGTCTCTCAATTACTTTCAAAATAGAACAAAATTTCCCTCTCAAGACATCTCCACCAAGTATAGTTTGTTGAGAGAGGATCAAACAACCTCCAATGACTAAATATTGAGAATATCATGAACTCGGAATGCTAAGGGCCTACTTGGTTCAGTTTTTTTAAAAAACATATCACAATAACTCGTTCAGATAACTATAACATACGGTTCTCTGAAAACAGCTCCCATTTTTTAACTGAATTTCAAAATACAATTTTCAGAAACTGCCAACCAAGCAGATTTTTTTACTAGTTCTCAAAAAACTGAACCAATCAGGCTCTAAGGCGCTACACCTTCCATTCAATTAAGTATTATATCAGCCAACAAAGATTCTCTATTCCATAACCTAAAAAAATTGATTTCAAGAGGAATCCTTCACCGTGAGAGTAAATTCCTCAAAGAAGCAATATTTGCAGTATAGTTCCTAAGAGCTATATTGCACATTGAAAACAAATCATCGATAGTCTCTTATGTTTTCAGTTGGACCACAACTAGTTTTGGTTACAAAGTTGAAAATTTTTCAAGCAAAATGGTCCAAAAAGAACTCTCCAAACTGAGAATCAGTCATTCTAGACACATAATCTCTTACAAAGGAAGAGTGTAATTATTTCAATAGATTGTTTTTCATAATACACATTGATTGAAAATACATTTATTTATAACAAAATAGAACAAAACTATCCATTTTAGGGAACCTCTATGTACACTACAGTCTATCAAACTACTACTTGTTTCCACACGTAAAAACTCTATTAATGACCTCTTCACCAAAAGAAGAGATAGTGGATTCTGCAACTAAAATCACAATTTGACTAAAAACTCTATAAAGGTACAAACTTTAGATGTGTTGTAACAAACCCATATAGCAAAATAGTCAAATCCTGAACACACTGCATTCAAACATGAATATGGGAAAGAAAATAACTTGACAAACAATGATGAACTCACCTTCTTCTTCTTCACAGGTTTAAGGATCTTAATAATGCATTTCTCATTGTTGGAGCAATGAATACCCTCAAAAACCTCACTGTATTTTCCTCTTCCAACCTTCCTCACAACCTCGTAATCGTCCTGCTCCCTATATAACCAACGATTACACAAATTCACACAATCAACCAATAGATGATAGAATATAATCAAATATTATATAATATATATATACACGAGTGTGTGTTTGATTACCCCCATTGGACGGTGAGGGATTCGTAATCCCAGTAATCCTTGGGTCGGATCACATTGAGGTCGGTATAAACCCTAGCCTTGGAGGGGGCGCCGGGGCGGCGGATGGATTTCCCGATCTTCTGCGCCAGGGCTTCCGACAGAGACTGCGGCGGTCTAAACCGGTGGGAGTACGGAGAAGGTTCGAGGTGATGGGAGTGCGGCGGAGGCGGAGGCGGAGGCTGTGGCGGCGGCGGAGGCGGACGTTTTTGTCTCTGTCTGTGGTGTTTTGGTTGTGATGAGAGAGAAAGTGGGGCCTTGGAAGCGATACGACGGAGGATGAGGGTTGGGGTTGTGGCTGATGATGATGACCCGGGATGAGAGAGAATGTTAGAGAGAGAAAGGAAGAGAGAGGAAGAGTGGTGGAGAGGGGAGGAAAGGAGTCTGCTTTGGTGGTGGCAGATGATGAATTGCAGAGGCCTTACGGCCATCAAAAGGTGGGATTTAATCGCCTAATGCACAATCGCAGCAACGACCCAATTTCAACTCCTCTCTCTCTCATATCATTCTTCTCTTTTTCATGTTTTTTTCTTTTTTAAATTGTTTCCTCCCTCTTTATCTCTTTGTGTTTTTTTTTTTTCTTTTTTTCTTTTTAACGTTTCTATTAATTTTCTATGCGTAAATTAAGTTTCTCTCTCTTCGTTATTCTCCCATCCTTTTTCCTCCTTTGAGTTGGAAATCTAATGCGAGTACTAAATTTTCAATTTAATAAATGCTACTTTTTAATTTGCTTTGCCAATTTACTTCAAAATAGAAGTTGTTCCGGTAAAAAATTACATCATTATAGAAGTTATTTAAGAGGGAACTTTACACTAACTAAATTTTTTATTAGGTTTATCTTTCTATCTTTTTTTTTCTTTTCTAACGGTTTCACCTAATAACCAAACAAAGCCTTCCTTTTTCCTCCTTTGAGCTGGCAATTACATATGAGTATTAAATTTTCAATTTAATAAATGCTACTTTTTAATTTGCTTTGCAAACTTACCTTAGGATACAAGTTGTTTTGGAGAGAATTTAGTTCGAATAGAAGTTGTTTTAGATAAAACTTTGCACGATTAAATTAAGTTACTGGGTTAAATAGGAACGGTAAATAAATAGGTGCTTCTTTTTCGCATGTTTTTTGGTGAAATTTTTTTGAGGGAAACTAAATTTTTCATTAGGTTTCTCTTTCTATCTATTCAAATTCTAAAAAAAAAAATTGAAAAATTTTCTTTTTCTATTCTTTTATAGCTAATTCCATCTAACCAAACAAAGATAGCCTTTTTCCTCCTTTTAGTTGGCAATTACATAGGAGTATTAAATTTTCAATTTAATAAATGCTATTTTTTTAAAATTTCAATTTAATAAATGCTACACGAGTATTCCATATAAGTATATTATATAAATGTTACTATATTATTGTTGCATTTTTGTGTGAGGCGCTATGTCCACTCCATTTTTCTACGTTCAAGTTACATTCTTAAACGGAATAACAATTATAACTTTAACTTTACAAATAAATGATTATTACTTTTTAAATGACATAACTATCCTTTCAGATTTCCTCACCTTATTTCTAATATTTAATTTTTCAAGTCTCTTTTGGCAAGATAAAAAAGAAAAAATTTGAACAATATTTTGTTTACGGTACCAAAAATAAATTTATGTTGAATAAATTGAATTATTTGTTTTGATTGCGCAAAAAATAAAAATATAAAAATAAATCACTATTGAATAAATTATCTCTTTTGACTGCCAAAAATAAAATTATCAATATGGAAATTATTTTCTTTGAGAGGACCTCAAAAAAGAAAAAGAAAAAGAAAAGAAAGTATAGCACAAGGAAAAAAAATAGTTAATAAAAAAGAAAAAAAAGAAGAAGTTAAAATTGTACAAAGGGTAGTTATGGTATTATAAAATAAGGCATAATGTATTAATGAATTTAAGGACCTTCTTGTCATTTTCTTTAAAAGAAAAAAAGAGAAATTAAATACAATTAGAGAAAAGTAAAGTGCAAATAGCCCTTCTTTTTATGAATAATATTTTTTTATTGTAATGTAATGTGTAGACCTACACAAAAAAAAATTTAATAATCTATGGTTGTCTAGTTGGTAAAATCTCAAAAATATTCTTAGCCATTGAGTGAGATTGTACGATTCACTTAATAGATGATTTAACAATTAAAAGATTTGGAAGTATAAAACTTCTTCACTCTCTCTCCCATCTTCAAGTCCTCTACAGATGTACAAACTCTGGACCTCTCCAATAATTTCCTCACTCGGTCAACTGCAAATTCATTCTCAATCGAATTTAATACAAAATAAAATATATTAGGTGAAGTTGTATTCATACCCTAAATTTCATTACCTTTAATTTTAAATACCCCAAACTCTAATAAAAGACAGAAGATAGCTTAATTTTAGTTTCGCCCAAACTCATTATCTTCTCTCTCTATTTTTAGTTCCTCCTATCTCTTAGATAGAAGAAATAAAATTTCTACGTTATGGTTTGGTGGCCCAAACTCTTCACGCATAAGAAAGAAGATAGAATTGACATGTGCTTTTAATAAATGTCTCAAACTTTAGTGCAAGTATTATTTTCAATATATAATGGGTGTGTGTGGTATATATATATTTTAAGTTAAACCTTTTTTTTTTTTGGTAAGTAAATCAAACTTGAACTATTAACAACAAACTTATAATACAATATATTGTGATGAACAAATTAATATTCTTGATTTAGGAATATATATATATATATATATATTCTTGATTTAGGAATATATATATATATATATATATTCTTGATTAGAAAATTTTGCCTAATACAATTAATTCTTTAAATATATGAATTTTTAACTATAGGATTTATTGGAATTTTAAGTTTGAATCCCAAATTCATATATTCAAATAGGAAAATGCTATACTTCATGAATTTTTATTTGTGATTTTATTTTGAATTAGGTGAGTAGCTTATTTGGCTGATTTATGTGTTTTAAAAGTTAATTTTTTAATATAGAAAATATCTTAATATAAAAAAGAGAAAAAATAACAAAACTTACAATTGTAGAATCCAAAACCTTATATAACTTAACTTGAATCCGTTTGGGAGACCCTTTCTATTAAATCTTCTAATAATTAAAACTATAAGTTACAATCTTTTGCCACGAATGAGTTACCTCTTTCTCTTGAATAAGAACTCCCGTCAAATAATTTAAACTAAAAGCTACATTTTTTTACTATGAGTGAATAATCTCTTTCTCGTGAATAACGTGTAATATATATTAAAATAAAAGACATTAATGTCTCTTTAGTTATTGCCACATCAAATTCAAGATGTGTAGCATTGCTCATTTAAATATTAATGTAGATTTATTATAAAATGCCAATCCCAAAATCACGACACGATGATGCCAAACATAGCCTAAGTGCATTTAATGTAACACGATACGAACACAACTTAAAATATGTCACTTAAAACAATAAATTTTTAAGTCATTTGCATTTTCACTTCACGGAAAAATATTTAAGGATAATACTTAGGTCATCACCAACGAGGATATATATCATTGTAACTGTTGACGTGAACCAATAACAAATGGACACGTCCTATTTTAATTATTAAATCAAAGATGGTAATGAGTATGTATCACATCATCTCTAATTTGATAATTAAAGAAGACATGACCATATGTTATAGGGGTGCACATGGTCCGGTTTAGATCGGATTAGGAGTTTTTTGGGACCAAACCATTTATAACGGTTCCACTAGTTTTGAAACCAGACCGAACCATAATGCCCATGAAACTAAACCAAACCAAACCGCGAAAAACCGGTTTGGTTCGGTTCGGTTTGTCTGTTTCAGTAGATTTCCTTTTTATTTTATTTTTAAAAACAAAATTTCTTATTTTTCTCGGTAATAAAGGTTTCATGGCAGCTAGGAGCAGAGCTAGAATTTTAATCCAGAGGGGGTAAAGTTTAAAAAAAAAAAAAAAATCAACTAACATTGATATAACACGCAAAAAGATGAATTTTAAGGAGAAAAAGGGAAAGAAAATTGAGATATATTTGAAAAGAAAGGAAATTGAAATATGATTCAAAAAGGAAAATTTGATTTTTTTTAAAAGAAATTTAAATAACAAAAGAAAGAAAAAGTTAAGATAATTTTTGGGGCACGTGAGACGTGAGAATTTTACTTGATTTAAGTTTAGGGTATGATATATATATATATATATAGATATATATAGTAACGGTTCGGTCCTGGCCGGTCCAATCTAGCAGGACCCTAAACCAGGACCGAACCAAAAAATTACGGTTCCATAATTTTGGGCCCAAGACCGGACCAAACCTCTATACAATTAGCCTAAATCGCCTAATTCAGTCCGGTCCGGTCCGATTTTTCGGTTTATCGGATTTTTTGAACACCCCTAATATGTTATTGGTCCACATTAGCAATCATAATAGAATACATTCTCTCAAAAAGATATGTCCATATGTTATTGTCCACATTAATAGTCGAGATGGAATAGATTCTCACTGGATTTGTGAGGACCTAAATATTATCCAATATTTAAATTATTTATGTATTACCCACCATTAATAAAAATTCCATCATTCCCTTAATTATAGAAATGGTGAATTAGCATTTGCTAACATTTATGTAATACCCCTGTCATGTAACGACCCAAATCCTTGGTTCAAAATGCTAACCAATCCATACCCAAACCTGATGACACACAAGGGCAAAATGGTCATTTTAAGGAAAGAGAGATAAATGAGTTGACTGTAAATGAGTCAAAGGAAGTCTATTTAAGTCATCATGGCCTTATAAACTCATTTTGTAAGGTTCTAGATGCAAGAACAACATTTTCACACAATTGCCCCTTTTTGGTTTGAAAGATTCTCGGAGTAGTCCACACTAAAATAAACATAACTTCCTCTAAATTTGGAATTTTTGGATAAGGTTAGTACCATTGAAAATCTGGCTCAAAAATCTTGAAATTGGACTCAAATTTGACCCAATTTGGAGTTAAAATGAAGGAGATGTGGTCATATGAAATCAGGCCATGAAAGTCAGTGAGATGGGTAGTTTCAGTCGGCTAAAGTCACATGTCAGCCGGTTGAAACTAGAGGATGACAATGATGATGGTCAACTGGCTGAAACGATGTCCCAGGCCTCGCTATATCGTGTCCAAGCCAAAATACACTATTGGTCGGCTGGTTTATATCACCAGCCGGCCGAAACACACTGGGAGCTGAAAAATGGGCCATTTTTGGTACTTAAGGCCTTAGACACCCCTATGGTTCGCTTGTGAGCTTAAATGTGAAGTAAACATGTCCCAAAAAAACATCCAATTAACTGAAAATAACCACATGTTAACATCCATACATTCATATAATTATCATAATAAATTTGTTACATCAAATGTAGTTTAAAAAAAAAAAAAAAATTATATCATAAAATGATCATAAGCCTTATGTGGGATTAGAAATCCTAGTGAGACTGTAAAAGGTAAAAGCATGGTCTCAATAATATTTCCATCCACAAAATAAATACAAGTAAGTAGCTA